AAGACTTATGAAGAAGCTCAACAAGTGGGCCTTTCCTATTCCATTGCCTTTTTTATTAAGACAAATATTAAGTTCTCTAGTCCTACTGATTTTGCCTCTTCTTCCTATGATTCTTAGCAATTACAGTTACACCTACTTTTGCAGGGACTCTCTTAAGAGGGAAGGATAGACTGTAACTATCAATCTGTCACTACAAGTGCCAAAATTAGTAAAACAAATGTGTGCATGCATGTTTGAAGCCCTTTGATCGACCAAAAATGTTATGGTTAATTTAAAATCACAGCTACTTGGAAAGCGTATTAGAGGCCAGGTGACAGGTAAACCAGTTACCAAATCTATGTATTTCAGTTTCTGATTTTGTAACTGAATTTCATTCTGTATTTCATTAAAGGCTCCAGTCAAGTTAGCCATTTGGAATGATACAGCACAGAACCAATAATGCTTCAAATAATCTTTAAGACAGGTTTTTCCAGTCGTTATTTTCCCCTTTGCCACAGGGTAAGAAAGAGTGCCAACGTAAATAAGGAATGCTACCAAAGTGCAGCTTTAAGAATGGTAGGCACACAAGACACTGCATATCATCACACTACATCTCTCTACTGTTAATTCTTCTAACACCACGGAATTCTTCTAACACCATGGAATATTAGGTTAAACAATCAATGCAACATAACTTACCTGCCTTTCACAAAGAATAAGCTACCTTAATCAGGCACCACAAGGTAAAGCATGGGCATATTGACAAGGCTACCAGCATGTGTCAAAGCCCCTTGTTTACTATGCCTAGGCAGAGGAACCTCTACTACAGAGCACACAAAAATCCAAGTCAGAAAAGTGAAGTTATTAATATGTTGTAAGTGGAGCTTTTCAAATTGCCTTATAACTTGTGAAAATGGCACAGTAACTGGATGCTGTACACCGAGTGTCACTATCACGTTCAATATATCTCAGCTTCTAGAAATGAAATCAATTTCACTTTCTTTGGAAATATTTTAGTGCAAACAGTTGAAAGATCACCTCTTCCCTATACAAATATTTGTAGGATAATTTCACCCTGTAACATAAGTTTTAAGGAAGTAACTTCACAGATTATGCATAAATTATATTTCCTTTTTTCTACTAGTTGCAACAGTACCAACTTAAAACCACTTTGCTATAGCACAATTAATGTAAGTATCCTTATGTATTTTAGATTTTTTATGTTATAGCAAACAATTATGAATTTTTGAGTAATGATTAGCATATAGAACAGGAGACTTCTAAAATAACTTCATAACCCACAAATTAGTTTATAAAAGTTCCTCTGAACTACCGGAAATCACTAGATACTTGCTGAAAACCATGAAGTTAAGAGAAATTACTCAGAATAAATATAACTCAATTTCTCCATTTTTATCTAAATAAAACACAAGATTTCGCTACATACAGTTCCAGAGAGCACATCATGAGGGCAGCAGTTGAGAAGGTGGCTCTTGCACACTCTGTCATCACTGAATTTGATTCGCTGACGGGTCGTGTCACCTGCAATATAGAAATCAACACATTCCAGGTTAGAAACCTGGGGAAGCCAGACATGTTCTGCAGGTTACATGCAAAGCGTTAACACTGCCCTGACACGTAGTGAAGGCCTATGGAAGCTATAACTTAAACCACTGTGTGCTTCTTTGCCAAATAACACCAAAACCCACAAATACATGTTTTAATGCTCTATAATGCTATTTTAAAATCCTCTCACACTTCCCCTTCAAAAATGCAGCGTGAAAAGTACTTGAAACCAGAAAGACAGCATTAGCTTAAAAACACTTTGCTACAACAGCATTTGTTAAATGAGCTATATAACGTTCTATTCAGATTTTGCATGAAATAGTGATGTATTTGTATGCAACAATTAGCATATAAAAGCAGCCTCATAAACACAAAATGATACACATTGAGTCTTCACTGAATCCCACCTGATACTCATTTTATGATTTTGCTCTTGGATGCAAGGCACCCTCTTACTTCTGATGGGAGTAGCATAAAGAGTTGGCAGAAGAATGATTTTAAATGCTTACAAACCTGAAAAAAAGTCAGTCAAACATATGGACATAGCCTATATGCAAAATTATTTTACAAATGTTTGCATATCTTCATATCATAAGTCCCTCTTTTTTTTTCTTTTTTTTTTCTTCCTTTTCTACATGCTGTTTGTCGGGCTTAAGTGTATCTTCATCATGGCAGGTTGTAGTTCCTGCATCAGCAGAAGCATCAACCTGCCCACACACTCAGGTCCAATTGCAAGTTTAAATAATCCCATCTTGGAGCAAGACCTGAAGTTTTCAGAACAAAGTAACCAGCTGGTGTTTTGGGGAGGAGGGCGGGACTACATTTTCCTTCGAGTCATAATGTAATTGTCACTATTTGAGATTCAGAAGAGAGATCACTGCTACAGCTCTCTTGTTAAGACACAGGCATGATAAAACACTTTAATCTCTCTCAAGATGTAACTATTTATTAGGTTTTTAAACTGTAACAAATCATTAAAATCTTTAATCATTGAAAACCTACTGGTGAATTACTGAAGCAAGGAGGGCTGCTGGGGGGGCGGAGGGGGAGGGGGGAAGAAAAAAAAAAAAAGGACATACAATGAGTTCAGATAGCAGCCTTTTCCATTTCATCAAATATTTAAGAATGTAGATACATTTTGCAATTATAGTTTTTTACGGCTTCATGACCTGAAACACTGAGAATGTTTAATCTATTAAACAATTCAAGAAGCCAAATTCATTACTGAGGTAACTACAACAAAGGGGAATAAAAAAACCACTGTATCTTATTAGTCAAGCCTTTCTTACTATTATGCAATCAGATTTTTATATATCCGTTCTATACATAGGATGCTAATACATAACATTTTCAGATGGGCCACATTTCAGATTATTAAGCAAACAAAAGTTTCCAAAACTACCATGTGCTTAATTTGCCTGCGGGGTACAACAGTTAAAACCTGTAACCCACAGGCTAAAGCCAGCTTCAAAGCAGTTCAGCAATAGGTTTTCTAGAGGGAGACCTTACTGCTTAGCTATACTTACGCTACTAAAAATTTAGAACAAGCCCTTCATAATCATGCCTGCTACCGCAGTGAAGAGTTTTGTTGTTTTGGTTTTTTTTTTTTTTTGCTTTTTAGGAGGTGGATCCATATTTTTTTTAAACACATAACTGCGTTTGTTCCACATTCATTAACACATCTGAAAAGTTATTGATAACTCACGGCTCGGCGAATGCGGGGCCTTTCTGACACTCCCTTGCAGATTGATGTAGGCAGGCAAAGATACATTGAACCTTTATAAATAAAACAAGGGGCCAGATTGTTCAGTTTGTATAGAATAATAGACTCTGCCAACAATTTTAACACAGCATCTAGAAATACATGTTGACTGTAAAGATTCTTCTATATAAAGACAAATGAACAAAATAAAAAAAAGTATTTTAAAAAAAGACAGCTGATGGCCTAGTAGCACTAACCTATCAGGAGTCAAGGAGTTATCAAGACCAGAAAACTGCTTAAAGACTCATGGTTCCTTAGGTAAAGTTGGCAAGTAGTATTTTCACAGATGTTACCTCAAAGTCTAGACATAGCTTTTTTCATACCTCTACCACAACTAGGAACTGATGCTACAGCTGCAATACAGTCTTTTTTCAGCTAAGTGGATAGCATGATAATCACAATTACCAAACTGAGATAAGACAACATAGGGAGAGAAAAAAAAAAAAAAAAAGTAGCAGAAACTGATCAATGACAGCTTCAAGAACATGTTCCACATTTACATTTTAAACATTTATTCCTTCTGCAGTGTGCCTTTGGTCTAGTATCTAAGAGACCTTCAGAATGGCTCCCATACACAGAACATTCAGATATTCAACTTTTCCTTCCTATGAAAAGCAATTTCATACATTTGCATTTATTTTTAATCTATGCTGTTTCAGAAGGAAAGGTTTACCAAAAAGAAGAGGTGTCATATACCATGTCCTAACAATGACTGAATTTTGTGTCCCTCTGTCAGCTCATTCCAGAGTCTGATAGCCTCAGAAGAAAATGCTTTTATTTCTTCATTAATTTTGTGAGCTCAAATACCCCTAAATTATGCAGACCTGTTGGCAAAAGACAGAAGATGCATTCTGCTGCTGACCTACAGATGAATCATCTTGAGTAGGTGATGACCTGCTATCTACATGGGTTACTGAGGGGGGAGGGCATAATAATATCTACAGATCCACTGTATCAGCCTATAGCAAAATAGACTTTTGCAGATGACTTCCAAGAATTAAAACAACATGAATAGATGTGTTCTCAAGCCAAGGACTTCAGTGATACGTCAGATAACCAAGACGCTACTTCTCTTTGACAAACTGTATTTAGGTTGATACACTCTTTGTATGGTCAAGCAATCAAGTGATTGCTAAGCAATGTTTATGAGTATTTAAAAAAAGGTTTTATATATTCTGTAAGAGGAAAATAATACAGCTAGGTACCAAGTAGCTGCAGGCATCTAAATTTCAGAAGCATCCTTAAACGTTTATAAAGGAGACACTATCACTGGTATTTCAGACCTTATTACAAGTTCTATTTTAATAGGTAAATAATTAAATTAGCTCAGAATAGCAACTAATTTAACCCTGCCTCTGAAGAATAGCTGAGTATTCAACTACTTGATCTTTAGGACGCATGCTCATTAAAGAAATCAAAGTAATTTCCCAGGGCATTACAAGAGTCAACGTCTATTACTACAAGCCATCCCTGCATTTCCAATCAGATTTTTCTCCATTAAAAAAAAAAAAATCATACAATTGTAATTTATTTTTTCTGTATCTGCATATAAATTTTATCATTTTTTTTCAAGAAGCAGCAGCTTTAGTTTTACTTAAAGTACCTGGCCCAAACCACATTTCAAGAGCTTACTTTCCAGATGACTGAAGAACTTTGAAACAGAATTGAAACCATTCAAGAAAAAAAAGCCAAACATCAAGGCAATTTCTACACTTGCACATATCATATCCTTCATAAGCATAAGGAAACTGCACACTAGGGGCACAAATATGAAAGAGATGACAGCAGTAAACTTTCTAAAGGAAGTTTTCTAGCTTGTATTCAACACACTGACTGCAAAAGTAACATCAACATTCAAGACCAGTGCATACTGCTGATTAAGGAACATCCAGAGGTTAAGATTACAATGTGCGCTTCTACTACACAATTCACTTTGAACTCCCAAGTCTAGCCTATTAACAAGCCTCCACAATGCCATTCCTCTTCAGTGTATTTTAACTGCAAACCAGCAGAATGAACACTAATGCATCAACAATGCTTAGTATTTTAACATGCTTATAACAATGATGTATCTGATCCGTCATCTCTTGCTGTTCTGATGTATCCTAATATACTACTAACAACAATCCCAGTGCATTGATGAGAATTACCCTTTATAATCCAACTGTAACCTCCAACTGCAGACTAATGGTGCAGTCCATGCAAAGACAATAACGTGCATTTCCATGCCACTGACTTCCTGCATTAAGCTACATCAACCAAAAGCTACTAGCTTTCCACCTGAATTTTTGAAGCATGACTCCCAACACCTTGGCAAAGGACTCTGAAAACTTTATTCACAAGGAGCTACTAACTGGGTGGAATAGCAGGTTAAAGACTGTGTATCAAATTTCATCAGCAAAGCAAGCCCTGTATAACAGGTATTCAAGATCATTATTTAATTGAGGCTTATGCAGTCACAGAAGATCCTGTTTCTGCTACACGCTGAACAGGTAGCTAATTCTGATATTCTTGTCACTAATACTGGATGCATCTTTACCACAACACCTTTAGAATAATAAACTTCTAAGCCGAACTGCTTCTGGTTTACACCATGACTGAATTAATATTTGTGAATGCAAAATATAATGGAACTGTTTTTTAGCTAATGCATTACATGTGGATCTAATATAGGAATGATTTTCTATGAGGTATTAATATGCCCATCTGCTTCTCCATAAATTCCATTTCATACAGTGTCCCAAATCCAGAGTAGAAAAATTCCTCAAGTCCTTCACTGTTCCCCTCGTTTTTAAGGGTTAAAGTACCAGAACTTTATAACAAAGCCAGCAGGTACACACAATTCACTAAAGATGATTGCTTCTCTTAAAGCCTTCTCATCTCTCCTGACTGACAAATAAAGAATCTTTTCATGAAGCTTATGTGCTGCTACTACTTTCAGATTTCTGAGCTGATACCGATTCAACATTTTGGGTAGATTTTGCAGAAATCTGTGTATAGAAGATACTTTTTTTTCTGCCTTTACTTTGCTGCTCATCTGTATTTGAAAGAAGAGCTCTCAGAGGAGGCTCCTGGCTCCCTAACCTGGCTCTCAGCCTGAAGCTACCCAAATGGCTATCAGTCCTCCAGTAATGGACAACGCATTGAAAACGGACTTCAAAAGCACATACTACCTTCCACCTACAAGTGTAAAGCAAATTGGAAAACAAAATCTATGTACCCTGAAAATACCAACCTCAACCCACCACCCTTAAGTACACAGGGAACTCTTAAACAATCCTATATGGAAACAAAAAAATTAAAAAATAAGTTAGAAGTTCTAGAATATACCTCTGTCACCACATAAAGGGTGTCACCAAACACAGGATGACTAAGATAAGCACAGGGGTGTCACTTCAACTCCTCCCAAACAAGGAGGACAGAAAGGTCATACATTAGTAACCACTACTAAGGATAAGTGAAGTTGCTAGCATAAACCAGAAAAACTTACTAAGATGTGGACAGATGTAAAAAGGGTATTTTAAGTTTCAATGCCAGAAGATGATCTAGAACAAGAAAAGTGCTTTGCTAGTAACAGCTGAAGTTAAAGACTCCAAACACAAAAGTTCAGCTCAAAAAACTAGCAGGTAAAACGAAAGAGGTGCTGATCGGCACTTCATACATAAGGATTCTACATATTTAAAAGCTCCAAAGATTTTTCTGCTAGTCACACAGCATAGTATTTGTTAGGATACTTGGGAGAACATTTTCATGACCACATGTAAGACTCGGAAGCATGCACAAACTTACCTATCTCTTAAGAAGAATCTAATTAACTTTGATAGTTTTTCATATCTCTAGACTATAACCTAAACTTGATGTAGTGGCAACTATAAAAAAAAAAAATCCAAACCACCACCACATTTCTTTGCAACAGTCAAGTCTTAGCAGTTTCAAGATGTTGTGTTGTTCCAGGGCCATTCGGATCTGCTGTGTATCTGCACTACTGGAATGATCCTGCTCCACCCTCTGCTTCTAACCAATTCCTCACACTGACTCTAGCACTCATGCAGCATGGCTGAGCAGGTAACTGACCTAGCAGAAAATGGACCAGTTGAGCAACATAAGCTGATTTAAGATAAAATGGGATCTTTACAATCAGATCTTTTAAAGAAAACCTGGCAATCTTTGCTCATTTCGGCTATATTCGGGTGGGGAATAATGGGGTACTAGTATCAACTGTTAATGTTTCACTTGATTTGTAAATGACTTGATTTATTCGAAAGTTATGATCCTATTTGTACGGATCACTCCTATTCTCTAGAAGATAAAGATGGCAAAACCAAGGTTTACCTAAGCATGCTATGAAAAAAACCATTTAATCAATTTTACAGTTGAAAATTAGTATTTTAAAAAAAAATTACACTTTTCTATCAGCTTACTCCTAATCCTTCTGAGTGACAAGTTCCCACAGCTCTGGTCATCAAAAATAAGTTCAATTTGAACTAACCTTTTAACTATTGACATACGGAATAAAAAGTCCTTTAGTTTAACCGCTCACAGTAAAAAAACAATATGAAGAAAACATTCGTATGCAAGTACATAAGATTAGCACCTGGTCTTCAAGTGCATCTATCCTGCTGCTGAAATTCAGCCAAGGGAGGAAGCAGATTGCCAAAGCAAGCCACAAAGCTCTCAGTTCTCCCCGCCTGCAAGCATAGGGCCCTCTGGGAAAGGATGCAGCGAGGGGCAGGCCCGGAGCTGCACACCTAGTTCTAGACAGCCACACATTGGGCAACCCCATTTGAAATGAGAAAGTTCCTTACTAACACAGTTTATTTTTCATAAATATTCTTACAGCTCGGTAGGTATTTTCTGAATCAATTTGACCAACACAGAACTGTGCTTTCTAGGTGTTCTCAGAGCTTAACAGCAAATGCATAAAAACATTTAATAACTATGTCCTCTGAGCTTCTCTGTTCCAGCCCCAGGGACACCAGTTATGCATGTGCACAAGCTTCCACAAATTACAGCCT